GGCTCACAGGAGCCAAGACTCCTACTGCAGCTTCCCCACTGTGTGGTGAGTGGTTGGGGTAAGCGGTTTGACTGTGCCTTGTGTCTCTATCTGTTACATATTATAAAATGGTAGACCCAAGACCAGAACAAGTAGAACCTCCAACTATTAACAGCAGCCACTGCAGCCATAGAGGCTGGATGGTCAATACCTTCCCTCCCAAGCTTTGGTCTTGCTTTGGCCCTATATGTCTTTACTTCTCCACTGGAATAAGAGTGTTTACTCCAAGCAGCTGGCTATTAGAAGTATGCAGCTTGTTTTTGTTTTATGTTTAACATGTGGGCACCCCTTTTAGAGATTGCCTTAAATCAGAAGAGTCTGTGGATTTTGGAACAGCGTTGGAGGCTTCTAGAGATGAACTGAATGCATTGATATGATGAGATGAAAATGTCAGGGTTGATCCCATCACTTATGAATTTAAAAATACTTCATCTCTTTAACTGACAGTGGCTATATAAATGGACCACAGCTCAACAGCCAACATCTAAGACTCCTGATGGAGTCATCTGGGCTCCAGCAGCACTGGGCAGCCCTGCAAACCCGTCCCCCAGGCCTGTGAACCACTCCATCAGGTTTATCACAGCTACAAGCCCGCTCTCGGTACTGATCTTCAATGTTGGTTCCTTTTTCACTGTTGTGACAAAGAAAATGTAAGAAAAGAAAGGTTTGCCTGGGCTCACAGTTTGAGGGTACAGTCTATCACGGTGGGAAAGTCATGGCGGCGGGGGACAGAGAGTGACGATGCATCCAGTCGGGAGGCAAAGAGACGTAAAGGAGACAGATGCTGGTGCCCTGCTTGCTCCTTTCTCCTTTCTCTTCAGTCTGTGGCCTCAGGCCAGAAGAGGGTGTCACCACATTCAGGGTAGGTCTTCCCTCCTTAGCTAAACTTTGCTAGAAACCCCTCTAGACCCACTCAGAGTGAGTTTCCGTAGTGATTTTAAATCAATTTGAAAATGGAGATTAACTACCACACTGATAAAACTCTTTGGTGACTGGTCCACAAATACTTGCTTTTCAAAACCCTGTTGGATCCCTGAGAGCTCACCCTGGTTTAATACAAAAAGGGAAAATATCAATATTCTATAATTTGCTTCTTCATAGTTAGTAACTAGCCATTAATAGCCATTTAGTAACTGTATTTTATTTTCATTTCCACATCATAATAGATAATTCTATCACAGCCAAAATTTACTTTTTTTTGGTATACAGAGACAGGGCTTCTCTGTATAGCTTTGGGGCCTGTACTGGCACTTACTCTGTAGACCAGGCTGGCCTCAAACTCACAGAGACCCTCCTGCCTCTGCCTCCCTATTGCTGGGATTAAAGGTGTGCACCACCATCGCCTGGAAGCCAAGAAACTTTTTTAAGTAGTGAAATAAAATCTCATGTTCAAATTTTAGCAATTAACTGATCTCATAAGGATCAAATTTGTGGCTGAAGTACGTAACAGCACATTGTAAACACATGGTGCTTACTAGTGTAGAGAACAGGGACTCTACAAGTTTCTGTTAAGCTTAACTAAGGCTTGTTTCCCCAACTCAACCAACAAACTTTTATTTGTCAATAAAAACATTTGACTGTTAGACAAGCAGTGAACAGAATATGGAATCCCTGCACAAGAAACCCCGTGAGCTTCCATCACCCTGCCTGGCTCCTAGTCTCCTGCTCTTGGTTTTCTTAGGACCAAATGCATTTTTCACCTAAACCAAGTCAGTGTTGACTCCATGTTGGTCCCATCTCAGTGCTTTCTTATCCAAACCTCCTCAAAAGGTTTAAACATGCCCTTTATTTAATTTACAATTTATATCAATAAATATTTGAGAATGTAATGATACGTGACATAAATTTAACATCTGTACTGCTTCTTCCTTCCCAGAACTAATAGGTCATTTCACCGGCCAAGCACATAGAAGTCCTTTTCAATTTTCTGAGAAAAATGACCTCTTCATTGGCCAGAGGTCATAAGTTGGGGACTGACCATAGGTTTCAATGGGTGGAAAGTATACCATGTTAGCCAGCCAAACTGAGATAGAAAGGACGCCCTGCCCACGGACACGCTGGAGAGAGCCTCAGCCCAGTGTTCTCAGACAAGGACTCTCCAGGACAACAGTGGGCTTTCCTGCCATTTCTCTTTAGATTTAACGGGAGCCGTGGTACCCTGTCTGCTGAGGGACCTGGGGAACAGCCGAACAGAGCTGCAGACAGAGGGTAGCCGTGTCTAGACTGATGTGATCATGCGAGCCAGGCAGGTTGTAAAGTCTCTCAGCATGAGAGCAGGGTCGCTCAGTTTGTGAGGTGCTTTCTTCCCAGGCCCCCATGTGCTCACGTGCACATACATGACTTACATGCACAACCATTATATCCTATAGGAAAAACAGGTAAGTAAGTGTAGATTAACTGAATTCAGGCTGGGGGATGTGGCTCAGTATATATATTCTTAGCAAGTACAAGGCCCTAGGTTAGATCCTCTATTGTGGAATATTTTGGTAGCACTTTGACACTCCTGAGACTGGCAATAAAGCTTACCTTGAAACAGAGGTCAAGGCTAGCTACTAACTGGCCAAAATTAGTCATAGGGGTTTTGGAGGACCCAGGAGATAAAGAAAGACGCAGGAAGTAGTAGGAAGGGCTCTCTTTAAAGAGGCTTGACCCTTTTGGATAGAGAAAGGAGAGAGAGAAGGGAGGTCACTGGTCACTTTTCTCCACTGCTTCTCTGATCAAGCAGATTTTTACCCTGATACCTGACTCCTGAGTTTTTACTGATAAAAGAAAAGTTTGATAAATGCCTCATCTGGCACCCTTTTGACTCTTTAAAACTTTTCTGAAGGTATAAATAAATATTATCTCTAAATTTATAAAATCATATACATGTTTAAACTTTCTGTTGTGACATTAATAATCACATAGAGTACTAACTAGTTCTAGAACTAGGCTTCATCTAGCTTCCTGTACATGATTTCAGGCTTAAGTCTGAAGCAGGTAAGTAGGAATTAAGCTTGTATACCCCAGATATATTCAACAGATTGTGGTCTTTTAATCTGTCTGAGATCTGATGCATATGACAGTTAAGATATTCAAGTTTTCTTCAGTGACCCGTGACCATTCCTAACAATGACCTTTGAGGTCTCTTAGAAGATGATCAGACACCGGAACAATGAATCCATTTGGATTGTGGTAATGCCACTAAGATAATGAATACTTCCCAAAGATCTACTTTGGACTACAAACTGCTCAGGAAGATTTCAAGGTAGTTAGCTAAGATGGAAGAGCCTCACAGACTACTAGATTAGGATTTGAGATAAGCCTTGCACTTTCCCATCACACAGGGACTGGGCAACAGCTGGCTCTCTCAGGACTTAATAATTACCTCAATTTTTTAGGGTGTCTTAAAGATGCCATCACCCCCAGGCAACAGGAAGTAATTTTAAGAACACAGCACCTACATTCCCAAAAGGTGGGTTTGATTATGGTTGTTTATCATCGTTTAGGGGAGATTGGTTAAAGTTGTTGGTCATGGTCAAGGAAAAAACTGAGCAAAGATTAGATTCAGGGATCTCATTCTGAAAAGAAAAGGTGGTATATAGAAATGATATGATAAGGCACCCCACTCCCACCCAGCAAACACCAGAGACTTACGACCAGCCTCCCCACAGCCCCAACTACCCCCACAGCATCTGAGACCACTGAAGCCTTGACCCCACCTATACTTGGAGAGGTAACTGTCTGAAGGGCCCGAGTCTCTTGGTTCTAGACCCCGGAGGCACATTCTGTGCCCCATTATCAACCAGCAAAACCCCAGAGACCTGAGAGCATCCTCCCCGCACCCCCAACCACACCTCAGGGCATCTACAAACACCAGAACCTTGGTCCCACCCCCACCTGGAGAGGTGAATATCTGGGTCTAGCTCTCTAGGCCATAGTCCGCAGAGGCACATCCCATGCCCCAGCCCCACCCACCAGAGCCCCAGAGACCTGGGAGTAGCCTCCCAACACCTCCAACCACTCCCCACCTGAGCCTTGGCCCTGCCCCCACCTGGAGAAGTAAGTGTCTGGGTCCCAGGCAGGAGGGCCCTATTCTCTAGGCCCTAGCCCCTGGAGACACATCCCATGCTGCACACCAACCCAGCAACATGTAGAAGAATGAAAATAGATCCATATCAATCACTATACACAAAACTCAAGTCCAAATGGATCAAAGACCTCAACATGAATCCAGCCACACTAAACCTCATAGAATAGTAAGTAGGAAGTAGCCTTGGATGCACTGACACAGAAGACCACTTCCTGAATATAACACCAGTAGCACAGACACTGAGATCCACAATTAATAAATGGGACCTTCTAAAACTGAGAAGCTTCTGTAAGGCAAAGGACACCATCAACAAGACAAAACAGCACCTACAGAATGGGGACAAAAATCTTCACCAACCCCATATCAGAAAAAGGGCTGATCTCCAAAATATACAAAGAACTTAAGAAACTAGATATCAAAATACCAAATAATCCAATGTAAAAATGGGATACAGATCTAAACAAAGAATTCTCACAGAGCAATCTCAAGTGGATGAAAGGCATTTAAGGAACTGCTTAACATCCTTAGCCATCAGGGAAATGCAAATCAAAACAACTCTGAGATACCATCTTACACCTGTCAGAATGGCTAAGATCAATAATACTAATGAAAACTTATGCTGGAGAGGCTATGGGGTAAATGGAACACTCCCCTATTGCTGGTGGGAGTACAAACTTATACAGCAACTTTGGAAATCAGTATGGTGGTTTCTCAAAGAAATTGGGAATCAATCTATCTCAAAACCCACAATACTACACTTGGGATGCACATTCATACTACAAGAATATTTCCTCAACAAACACATAATACACACTCACACACGCATATCCCTAAAACCATGCATAGCAAGGTATCTACACATAAGATGCCCAGAAGTGTGTGAGCTCACCAAGAATAATTCTTCTTGGTGGAAGATCCAGGCTTCTAGAAGGTGTCACCGCTAAATGGGACCAGCTCTCCAGGAAATCTGGTGGCAGTGTGGCTATTCGGTTGCTTGACAGATCCAAGTAGGTAAGGTTCTTCAGATATCTGACCACCTCATTTGGCACACGGGTTATTCTGTTATTGTGCAGGTCTAGCGTCTTCAGGCGGGGCGTGTCCAGCAGAGACGCCCAAGGGAAAGCAGTCAGAGAATTGCCATCCAAACGCAGTTCATGCAGGTGTTTTAGGTTATAAAAGCTGCCAGGTTCTACGCTGGCCACTGAGTTGTAAGTTAACCAGAGGTACCGCAGCTCCACCAGGTAGTAGAAGGCCTCTGTGGGGATCCTTTGGACCACAGTCTTCTCTATCCGAAGCTTCACGGTGTCCACGGGGAAGTTTGTAGGGACTTCATTCATGTCCAGGTCATTACACAACACTGACCTAGTGTCACAAGAGCAAGGTCAGAAGGTCTACTCTCCAAGACTCATCTTAAAACAAACCCTTATTTTAAACATGTATCTATTTTTAATTCCCTACTAGTGTTTTACAAAGCATTTGGTTAGTCTGGAAAGCCTTTTTATTAATAATGCCACATTATTATATTGTCATCATCATCATCTCCTTCCTCACCATTATTACCATATGGTACCCATTAAATTGCACCATACAAAATGGCTCTTCTCACAGTAAAGTTGATCAAATCTGAGCAATTTCATGGTGTTCAATGGGTATTTATGGAGGACCTTTCACGCCAGGACTTCGAAACACAGGTCACACCTGTCTCTTTATTAATCATCATGCCCGTCCAAAGAGGCAGAAACTGGATGACAGAATAAAGCTGGGCTCTGCTGTCTTCTCTGTGCCCAGGGAATGCCACTTCATCAGACTCCGGGTCCCATTGTCCCATTGTCATAGTATGATGATTGATTTAAATGGATATAAAACTCTATGTCTTCCGGGCATGTAAGTTCTCAGTCAACATTTGTTGTTATTACCAACAACCTGTTAAATATCTAAAATAACTTGTGCCCACCAATGCTAAGTGACTGCTCAATGTCATCCAGCCAGTGGGATACTACAGAACTGCCTTTCAAACACACTTCTGCCCAACTCCACAGTGAGTAAACCTTTTTAAGAAATAACCAATATCAAAAGAATCCCCTCAAAACCATGAATTGGAGCTTGGGGTGCACCTCAATCATGAAGTGTTTGCCTACCATATATCAACCCCTGAGTTAGATCCCCAGAACACAATAAACCAGGCACGGCACATATCTATAGAGACAACAGTCAGGAGACAGAGGCAGGAGGACCAGGCATTTGAGGTATCCTCAGGTATAGAGACTTTCAAGCTAGCCTGGGCTATATGAGAACCTGTCTTTAAAAAAAGTCATAATTGATTTTTTATGAAAGAATCACTTATGGGGAGGGTCAGCAAATATCAATGCATTGTTTTCTGCCTAAGGAATAGACCAAAACCAAAATATACTCCTGTTGGCAGTCACTAACTGAAGAGACCCAGAACAAACCATACTGTGAACCTGTTTATACGCATGAATAAAATAAGGTAGGAAAAAAAATCCGTCCTAAGTGTTGGCTTAAATGGGAGGAATCTCAAATCTTAGATTTGTTCCGATATGAAAAACTACTTACTTATCCTCCACATCCATCTGAATTGCTCAAAGTGAATAAGCAGTTTTGAAAATAAAAATTCAAATCGGGATGCATAACAATAAAATGACCATCATGGAAACACAGCGTAGCAAACCGTGAATTTAAAACATCAGCTTATAATGCAAACAGGGGGAAGCAGTGAAGAGTCTTGTGTCCTTGGCAGTAGCACCCCCTTTCTGTTACTTTAAAGACCACAGGGAGCCACGAACAATCTCCAGGGTACTTTTTAGTTTGACCTCTATTACAAATTCCAGAGTTGCCCTGCACCAGAACGAGAGCAATCTCTGCTCCTTAAGTTAGCATTTCAATGTGCTATCGTAGGAAGAAGCTGGGTCCCCAGCTGGAGCCACAGCACCTTGATTAGCTTGGTGACTGCAGCACAGGGTGCTGAGACCCAGGATAAATCAGTCATCTTTCCCTGTGCAGTTTTGCTTCCTCACTTACACCTGACAGGTATTGAACTAGAATCCCTTGAGGGGGTCTCATCAGGCATAATGTTCTGTGGCTTTTGTAAAACCCACCCATGGAGAAGAAAACACTGACAATTTTCTAAGAAGTTCCCTGGCCTGGCCATCGATTGCTGTAACGGTTTGGGAAAATAGACATTAAATTGTGTCCTTTTTATTGCATTTTACTTCTCAGGGAATGTTTTGAAAGGGTACCAAAGGTTGACTAAATAAAAGCATTCACAAATAAAGTTTAATAGTATCAACATTCTTATCATCAACATCATCATCACGGTCATCACCATCATCCTCACCACCATCATCACCACGGTCACCACCATCATCATCATGGTCACCACCATCATCATCACGATCATCACCATCATCATCACGGTCACCACCATCATCCTCACCACTACCATCATCATCATCACCATTAGCAGTAGCGGCAGGAGCATTGCTGTGCTGGTATCAGACTCGTGTCCTTAGACATGCCAGGCGAGTGCTGAACCTTTGAGCTATACCTCAGTTCTAATCATTATTCAATTAAAGCTGTGATATTCTTCTATTAAAATTTGTTTCAGGAACTCATGGCTTATTTCAACTGTCAAAGTCCCAAGAATTCATTTATTTTTTAGCAAATAGTCTCAAAAAAAAAAAACCACCCAGAGTCTACTGTGTCTGACTAACAAGAGTCCATTTTGTATTCGCCTGCATGTCAAAGGATTCCTGTGCATCCTATAAGAATTATAATTCTTACTAGGTTAAAGCAATTTAAAGGCTTAATAACTTCTGTGAGGGCCTACAAAGTCTGAACAGGTGCTATTTTCTAAACATCTTTACTTTTGTAAATTCCATTTTTTTTAAAAAAAAAAAATCTAATCATTAACCTCACCGACTTCACTCTTGGCCTTCCTACTACCAAGGTGTTAGTGTAAAATGTCTCCAGATGAAACGGGAAACTCTGATAGCAGATTATGTGGATAAGCTTGCAGCTCCTGCCCAGCCTCACCCTCTGTACTTTCTGTAACAAGCCTGCCTCCCTCCCACCCCATACTGAACGTTGATCTCCAGAGAGGGGTATTTTATGCATGTGTGTGTAATAAATATTTTTTGCAAGACAGAAAATTCTTTTGGACTTTCAGAGAACCTTTTGAGGCATCTGAGAGGTAAACTATTGCTCACAATAAAAGTAATGGGCAGTGGGCCACCAGCTAAGAAAAACTGAACCAAGTCTCATGGAATTTAAACTTCCCCTAATTTTTAATAAATAATTTGCTTTAACAAAATCAGGATGATTTGCTTGTGTCCTTTTCACCAGAACAGTCAGCATACTTAGCAGCAAAGAGAGGGGCATACCTTGATCCCAAGCCGTCATTCCTGCCGTGATGATCACAGGTGCACTGCGCAGGACAGGTGCAGCTCACGCCTCCCAGAAAACACAGCACAAGGCACAGACAGGCAAGGAGCCACATAGCTCCAAAGTGGCCCTCTGAACAGAAGGTAGGAGGCAAGTCAAGAGCATGTAGAAGCTGGTGTGCCGGGACGCCAGCCGACATTTAGCATCTGCAGCTTAGTCAGATTAGCCGAGATCTGCAGCTAATTAACCTTCAAGTGTCTTGCAGGGGATCAATCCACCCAGCCTTTGAATATGGGCTCGGCCAGGTAACACACTTGCCACAGAAGTGAAAATCTAACTCATCAGGAAAATTTCAGTAGCTGCCCATGTCTAGATTTGCAAGGAACCCTTATCGGACCCCTTTCCTGTAGAGGGAACTGTCACTGTAGCTTAAAGGCACATTCAGTGTTAAAAAGAGCTCAGTATCTTGGCCTAAGCTGCAATTTTCGGTAGTTTATTGGTACATTCATTGTCCCGTTTCCCTTTCACATCTTCACGGGCAGGTGTGACTTGACTTCACATAGAGTTACCAGCGTTGCCCCGCCCTACTCATCTCCCAAATCCAAGGAAGCTCGACCCATGTCATTGCTGTGTGAAGACTCTAATCCTCTCCTGATGTGTCAGGGCCACAACTCCTCTGAGAGTATGTCCTGAGTCTCTCCAAGGTCATCTTCGTATCCACATGATTTCCCCCATCATGTTCATTTCTATTCAAAACCATATTTCACTCCATGTTTGGAGCACCAAAATCCTAGGGATGCGCCGAGGGCTGAGAATTCACCTCAGTTGGAAGAGTATTTTCCTGGTGTGAACAAACCACTGGGTCCAGTCTCCAGCACCACATAAAACTGGGTATGGAGGTATGTGCATAGTCTCTGCAGTTGAAAGATGAAGGCAGGATAATCAGATATTCAAAGTCGTCCTCAGTACATAACAAACTGGATGCCAGTCTTCTAATGGACACCCTCTAAAGAAGAGTCTCAGAAGGTCAATTGGCATGTCTTTTAACAATTTTAGCAATAAAATCATTTTTGAGACATTGTCTCACTATGTAGACCAGGCTGGCTTTGAACTCATAGAGCTCCATATGCCTCTGCTGGGATTAAAAGTCTGTACTACCTCACCCAGCTACAGGGAATAAACTTTTAATCTAACTTAAAATCTACCTCCACACACAAAATAAGTGAAATTCATGATGATAATAAAACTATTTCATCTTCATAGTATGTGACTCTATCATGTTTAGACATGAAAAGAATGAGTTCTATAAATATAAGAATATTACATGATGTTATCAAGCACTACTAGAATTCATATATAGACAATAGAGTCTGGAAAACATTGCTCCTTCTAAAAAAAATCACATTGCAGCTGTTCAGAGACTACACAATTCACTTTTTTAGCAAATATTTACTGAGTACTTGCCAACCTCCGAACCAAGTTCTAAAGGGACAAAGATAAGCAATACCTGGTCCCTAAGCAATCCCTAAGGAAGCCAAATGATGGAGACACAGGCCAGCGAGGAGGCGAAGGAACATCGTGTTCAGCCTGTGTAATCAGGCCAAGCTTTCCCATTGGATGTCTCCTGAGCTCCCAAGCAAGTGGAGAGAAGCGGGGAAAGTTGTGCTCTGTGTGTGTGTGTGTGTGTGTGTGTGTGTGTGTGTGTGTGTGTGTGTGTG